CAGCAGAAGACCACTCACATGGTTTGGTGCATGATCATAACTTCCAAAAGGGCAGCACTCTTTATTATGTTCACTGATGGAGTTTCAGAAGTGCTTAGAACAGTGTCTAGTGTAAAGTACATGTTCAACAAATACTTGTTGAATGGAAGAATTTACAGGTTGGGAGTCATCATATTTCTTTACATATGAGGCTTCACTCACTAACTCTAACTTATTGCCATCGAGTTGGATCCGACTCATAGTGACCCTCCTTGGGTTTCCAAGGCAGTGGAAATAGATGGCACAACCTTTCTTCCAAGGAGTGGCTGGTGGGTTTGAACCGCCAGCCTTCTGATTAGCACTCACAGCCTTAGGCAGTATCCACCATTAAAAAAAAAAAAAAAGTGAAGGAGTATAATTTAAGGGGAAATAACTGCTTTGTGAGAAGGTATGATACCACAGCTACAGTGATTATTTACCCTAATCAAAATTACTTGTCCTGCGCTCCATCTTCTCCAGATAGTATTTCTTTTGAGGCCCAGTTTATTACTCTGTTGATGTGATCATGATCAATAATGTGATGTGTTATGGATTAACTTGAGTTTCCCCAACATAGTCGTTGGAATTCTAATCCCTGTATCTGTGGATGGAGCTCTGGTAGCATAGTGCCTAAGGCATTTGACTGCTAACCAGAAGGCTGGTGGTTCAAACCCACCAGCCACTCCTTGGAAGAAAGGTTGGGGAATCTACTTCTGTAGTGATACCACCTTGGAAACCCAAGGAGGGGTTGCTATGAGATGGATTCAACTCCACGGCAGTTAAGTTTGTTTTTTTTGATATATCTGTGGATGGGAGTATGGTATAGTGCCTAACGCATGTGACTGCTAACCAGAAGGCTGGCAGTTCAAACCCACCAGCCACTCCTTGAAAGGAAGACTGGGTGATGTACTTCCATAGAGATACCGCCTAGGAAACCCAAGGAAGGATCGCTATGAGTTGGAACTGACTCCACAGCAGTGAGTTTGGTTTTTTGGTGTATTATCTGTGGATATAGGTTTTTTTGTTATGTTAATTAGGTCATACCTGAGTAGGCTGGCCTCTAAATCTAAGCCCTTCTGAGTTAAAAGACCAGATTATAGACAGACACACACCTGCACACCAGGGAAGAAAGACACCATGTGAGGGGTATCAAGCCAAGGAGCCAAGGAACCAAGGAACACCTGGGGCCAACTCCAAGGAAGGCAGCAACACTGCCGAGGCCTGATTCATTCTTCCAGCCTCCAGACCTGGGAGAAGATGAGTTTCTGCTCTACAAAGCCACCTACTTGTGGTACTTCTGTTCCAACACCACTAAGAAACTAAGACAGATGGGTAGGAATAAACAAACCATCCCAGTCAGTGACACAGTGGCTTTTTAACTGGAGCCCTTTGGAAAAAACTGTCCAGTGCCTGGCAGAGAATTCCACACATGCAGACTATTCCATAAATGTCTATTGGCCCTGGTGAGAATGCGATGATGGCAGGACCTTAAAATAAAGGACTGACACAGGTAACAGACATTCAGGCAGAGTGGGAGGGCCAGAGGGGGGAAGCAGTGTTTTGGATTGGGCAGTCTCCATTCCCATCCCAAAGCAGGACCAAGAAGCTACCCACGCTTTCTGTGCTTAATGCTGCTGCTCTTGTTGTTAGGTGCCGTCAAGTCGTTTCCGACTCACAGCAACGCCATGTACAATAGAATAAACATTACTGGCCCTGCACCATCCTCACAATCATTGTTAGGCTTAAAACCATTGTTGTATCAATCTATCTCGGTGAGGATCTTCTGCCTTTTTGCTGACCCTCTAACTTTACCAAGCATGGCATCTTTCTTCAGGGCCCGGTCCCTCCTGTGTGTAATAGTTTGGTATATGTGTGCCACGTTGTTGTTAGGTGATATTGAGTAGATTTCAACTCATAGTGACTCCACGTGATGGAGTATCTGCTCCATAGAGTTCTCTAGGCTGTAATCTTTATGGAAGCAGATCACCAGGTCTTGAATTGCAAACCTTTTAGTTAGCTGCCAAGCACTTAACTGTTGCGCCACAAGGGCTCTAGCTCCTTCTTAAAAACCTGAACCACAATGGCAGACGCCAAGAACACTCTTTACACGTGTTATAGAGTTCAGGTAGAGAGCTGAAGCCATGCATCTCCTCAACACTTAAAACAAAACTTGTTTCTTTATTTCCAGTAATTATCTTTCTTGTTCACTCTTTTCTTTTTAATGTGATGAGAAAGGGAAGACATAGGAAAGAGAGCAAATAATGTCTCTCTTTTTCAGAAACCCCAGGATGTGTAACACAGTGCCTCTGCTCATGGTTAGACATCTCCTTTAAAACAGGGTTACTCCACAGTGGGGAACAGATGAAGTCCAGCCCTTTAGTGAATGACGCTGGGTAAAGCCATCTCAGGGGGCACCGAGTTTATTCAGTTACTTGTTCTTTCGACAAATATCTACAGGGCACTTATTGCTAGTTGCTGTCTAGTCGACCTCAGGCAGCACTGCCTGGTCCTGCGCCACCTTCTCCATCGATCGTTGGTATGTTTGAGCCCATCGTTGCAGCTCTTGGGCAGGACTTTCCAACCTACAAGGCCCCTCCTCCAGCTGCATATTGGACAGCGTTCCATTGTGACCCACAGGGTACTCACTGGCTAATTTTGGGGACTAGATCGACAGGCCTTACTTTGTCTTAGTCTACCTCTGCTGAAACCTGTTCACTGTGGGCGAGTTTGCTGGTATTTGAAACTCCAGTGGCATAGCATTCAGTGTCATAGCAACATGCAAGCTACCACAGCACGACAAACTAACAGACGGGTGGTGGACAGAGCACCAACTGTGTGCTAACTGCTATAATAGGCACTGACTACAATACAGAATGGGAGTTCCACGGAGCTGGTGGGGTGCCCATTTTGTATCCCTGTTACCTGGAACACTCTTGATACACTGGAGCCATTCAAAAGATAGTCATTGAATTGATGAATGGTTCCAGGCCACATGGAGTTTATAACACAGGAAATCATACCATTTCCTCTTGTTCAGTTAGCTTTTTCCTTTCTTCTTTTTTGTTTTAATCATTAATTTTTTTTTTTATGCTCAAACTTTAGGCAATGAAAGCCCCTTCAGCTAGCTCCTGTGATTTTTTTCCCCCTAACTTTATTATGGTAAAATACATATATAACAAAAATGTGCCATTCAAACCATTTTCAGGTGTACAATTTAGTGACATGAGTTACACTCACCACGTTGTGCTGCCATCACTACTGTCCACCTCCAAAAGTCTCCCATCTCCCACAGAGAGACTGCCAAGCAACAGCTCCCCGCCACCCCCCCCGCCCCTGGCAACCACCAAGGCTCCTGTCTGCGTATTTGCCGATTCTAGATACTTCATCTAAGTGGAGTCATACTGTGTTTGTCCTTTTGTCTGACTTATTTTCACTCAGCACAATGTTCTCAAGGTTCACTCATGTTGTATTGTGCGTCAGAACTGCAGTTCTCTTTGTGGCTGGAAAGTATTCCATTGTGTGGATACCACATGCTGTTTATCCACTCGTCAGGTGATGGACACAGGTTATTTCCATCTTTTGGTTACTGTACATAATGCTGCAATGAACACTAGTGTTTGAGTCCCTGTCTCAAGTCTTTGGGGTACATACGTGGCTCAGTTAGTATTTTCATGCCAATGAGTTAAGGGAACATCAGAGGAAGCTTCCAGGAGAAAATGTGGAAGTCACTGGCTGCCTTGGGAGAGCGTGGAAAGGGATGTGGTTAGGCTCTCATCTTACTCCCCACTGGCTATCTCTGTGAAGGGACTGATCACAAGGTAGCAAGAGGATTCTCACACGTGATTTATGAGGGTCGTCACTGGGCCTCTGGGGTTGCCCTGTGGACAGGAACGTTTTGGCTCCATCTTGTCTACACAGGGCAAACAGCTCCGTCTCCTCCTTGCTTTGAGCCGACCACCTGTTCGCTGCACGTCTGAAAGGGGCAGCACCAACAGGAGCCCTGGGGGGCACAGGTTCTGCTGCTTTCAACAATGACAGCAAGTCCCTTCTCCTTGGCTAGACATAATATTGTTTGGCTTGGTTTTAAAATAATCTGTGAGCTAAAAGTTTCCAGAGATAAGAATCTAGCTGATGAGCAACAGCCAACATCGCACAGCATTCACATCAGACCAAGACTGGCTTCTGTCCTCAAGATGTGAGATTTTTCTCTCTTCCTCCTCCCTGCGCTGCTCACTCTGTCGCTTCCACCTCTCCCTTCTATCTCTCCCTCCCTTCCCTCCTCTCTTCCTTCTTTTTTCTTCCCTCCAAAACCCAAGCAGTTCTGAATCTTCTACTTTTTGTGGGAGTGGGTTTGCCTGGGGCATCTGATTCAAACTGGGGGAGGCATCCCAGGGTCCTTACAAACCTTACCAGGGTCAGAACTGATAGGCACTGCCAATGGCCAATCATAACACCACTGCTTCATCAGAGGCAGGTTCAATGGACAGGGCTCTCTGATCTTTAGTAACATTCGGAACCAGCAAGGTGTCACACATTTGGGACACGGGAATGCGTTACTACTTCGCAAGCACCACGTTTCATTTGTTCTAATCATGTGAAAGTGATCTTTCTGAAAAGACACATGCAGCTCTTGCTGTGTCTTACTGGATCCAACCATTACCATTCGATTTGTCATTTCCATCTTTTTTCCCTGAGAAAGGAAAAATAATTTAATAAATATGATCACAGGAGGCTTTTTACTTGTACTGGGGAATGTGACCAAGGGCCCCTGGACCACACAGCTGTCCACAGTCGCGGCTCTCCAGGAAGTCTTTAAGAGCTAAATCGCATTTGGGGATTACTGTCTGGATTTCGATCATTCCTACTCCTCTTCTTGTCCATTGTTCTGGTCACCGAGGATTAACACTCTGGGGATCACAGTAATGACCCATCGTGGGCTCTCTCCAAAGCAATTCTATTAATATCACTTTTCATCTTCCTAGGTGCGAATTCAGCAAACAGTTGGAGAGAGAGGCTGTCTCAGCCAGACACCAGCATCCGCAGGGCCTGTAGAGGAGGAGACCCCACTCACTGGGACCAATGGGAGCTCCCTTCCCAATTCCGGAGGGATCCACAAGGACAATGCATCCCTGGCCCAATACCTGGAGGTAGAAAGCTGGACTCAGAGCCCACAGCATGAAGAAAAACAAGACCTGGATAAAGGACACAATGCACCTGGTGGCCCCTGGGGAGACCAGGAACTTGAGTGGGGCATTTCAGAAGCTGAGGGTGGATACGTGTTCCCCTGTGAGTTCTCAGAGCCTTGCCCCCAGGACGGTCACGCTGACCTCATTGAGCCCAAGGCTCCCTCTGTGGCTTCCCCTGGACTCAGAAATACCATCCTTACCATGGAAAATATGTTTGATGGGCCAGGCAGCAGAGAAGGCGTGAGTGGCATGGAGAGGTTTGAAGCAGGTGACCATGGGACATGTTGTGATACCATGGGCTCTGCACCCGTTGGTAAATATTTACCTCAAGAAATTTGCTCCATGGACCCAGAGCTGGCGGATGGTCAAGGCAAAGCATCTGATTTATGTCCTCCTGATGACACGAAGCTGGAAGTCCTTCTGAACGCACAGAGTTCTGATTCTCCACGGTCCACATGCGAAAACGGCAAGGACAGAAGCCAGGCCGGGCCATTGCTTTTTGTCAGCACATTCACCTGGGCCATTTCACAAGGGGCCTGTGAAGGCACCTCAGGGGGCAGTGTAGCAGAGGTGGAGAGCTCCACCTCCGTGGCAGCCTGCAGAAGGACTGACCAGGGGAGGCCGCTCCCCAGCCACACAGGGGGGCTTGAGGAAAGGCAGCCTCCTTCTTCTGAGAACAATGCTTTTTTGCAAGTCAAAGAAGAAGATGAGGAGACCAAAGACACCACAGACATACCACCCAAGCCTAGTTCCATGGTGACATTTCCTCAGGAGAAGCCAACAACGTTAACTGAAGGTCTTCAGGTGACGAGGGAAAGTGAAGACACATCAGCTATGACCATGGCTGCCAAAGTCTACCCCACCAAGTACCTTGCTGCTTCAATTGCTGAAAACAACCAGGCAGATGGCACTGAGGAGAACTCACCTCAGGCACCAGAAGAAACTGTGTTCCAGCTTCCTGCCAGTGTACCATGGGGTCATATTTTAAATGGTTCCACAGCTGAATCAATAAAAGAGATACCTTGCATGGTGCCCAGGGCACCAGAAACCCATGCCCACGTTCTCCAGCTCTCAGAGGGAGAGAAATTCTGTAGTAATTTCCTTCTTCAGATTGGTAACCAATCTACAGATAAGAGCCAGATGGTGGACAGAGCAGACCACAGGACCCTTCAAGAGAATTTCCAAGAAAAAGGAAGTGAAACAAAGAAGAAGTTCCATTCAGAGAGCTCGCCTCACCAGAGTTCTCTTTCTGAAGATAGTTTCCAAGAAAGTTTGCCCTCAACATCTGCTGTACAAGAGGAAATATGCTTGACACCCTTGGACCACTCACCAAGAAACTTTAAGGAGAAAAGAGGGCAGAGCTCAGGCCTGGGGACAAGCATCTCCATGGTGGCTGAAGGTACTGTGGAAGATGACAGTCAAGCTCTAAGCAATGTTCTGCCTCTCTCTAACTATCTCCCAGAGGACTCTACAGAGAGTGGACCAGGATCTGGGGAACCAGGCAATAAGCTAAAGATTATAACTCTAGAGGCTTCTGTTTCAGAAATCTGGCCACCAAGACAACCAACAGATTCAAAGTACAAGGAATCAGAAGCTGTTCCCATAATTCCTGGCAGGATCTGGGCTCTATCTGAGGTTCTAAAGGCAGATGCTTCAGTGTGTGAACTGGACTTAACTGAAACAGCAGTACCAGCCAGTAGTCCTCAGTGTGAGTCTCACTCAACCCTTGTTCATAACAGAGAAATCCATGGATATCAAGAACCAGTCAGCAGTGAGGATGGAAGGAGTCTTTCTTCTCAGCATTTGAGCCAACTCAGACCCCTGGAGTCATCTGTGGACCCTATAGATGACAAGGAATCATGTACCACAAATTCACTGTCAGAAGCTTCCAAAACTAGAGAGAAGAAAAACATTAACAAGATGAGTCAAACCCAAGAGGAGACCCAACTCAAGGTGGATCAACCTGCCTTCTTTAAACAGTTGCTGACCCACCCTCAAATCCTGGAGTCATCTGTTGATCCCATTGATGAAACAGGTGTGATGGAGTGGGCCAGGGCTGAACAACCAGAGCCTCCCAGATCCACACCAGGGCTCACCAAAGAGGGGAGTCAACCAAAGGATGGAAACTTGGGTCAGCAAGTAGAAGTCCAATCTGCCATCTGGCATGTTCCATATCCTGAGGGAAGTGGGGAAACCATTCCAAGTGAAAAGAACATAAACCAGAACCAAGGAGACAGTGAGAGAGGGCAGGCTGAACAAAGTCAAAACGCCAAAGCAAAAGGGGAAGTCCAACCTGCCACTTTGCAAGTCCCACGACCTGACAAAGGTGGGGAAATAATTCCAAGTGAATGCAACACACACCAAGTACAAGTAGACAGTGAGAGAAGCTTTGGGGAGGCAGTGCAAAGCAAACACAACAAAGCAGAAGTAACTTCCCCCACTCCACCTCCTTCTAGCTGTCTTGCAATAATGACTCATGCCACTGTTGGAGTTGAGACTGATGCCACAGACCAAATTCATGATGTCACTGCGAATGACATAGCTAAGCAAAGAAATCATCAATATGTGTTTTCTGACTCGAAGGAAAGGGGCAAAAATATTGATGACGAGTGCGCTAACCATTTGCCTTCTTCTAGTGGGCTTCTTCCTCCTGAAGGAAGCAGCACCAACTTCTCAACAAGCAACAAAATCGAGGAACCTAAAACAGAGGAGCTTCAAACTGAAGAAACCAAACCCCTAAACTCACCTGGCTCCCCAGCCACTACTTGGGCCTTCATTTCAGGAGACTGTGTATCAGAGAACGCTCCCAAGTCCTTGCACGACCCCTGTCAACAGGGCACTGTGGGCAGCATGAAAAAGTTCAGGGAAGAAGAGACAGCAGGACCCATGGTGACTAAACCTGGCAAATTTCCAGAGGCCCAGCCAGCGGTGACTGGGTCTGAGGAGGCCAAGAAGAAGCAAGAAAACTCAGGAAGTGGACGTATAGCTGAGGGGGTAAAGAAGAAAATTCTGTCCAGGGTAGCAGCCTTGAGACTGAGACTGGAAGAGAAGGAAAATGTCAGGAAGGCTTCAAGCTTTCGCGGAAAGATCCCTAAACTCGAGCCATTGGTATCACGTTCAGAGAAGAAGGACCAAAAAGAGCCACCTTGCCGGAGAGGAGGGAAAGGTGAGGCTCTGTTGCTTTCTGTACGGTTACCTGGGGTCGGTGAGGCCAACGCCAACTCCCTCTTTCCTCCTGAGTACTTTGTAGTTCTGTTGGGTCCCCACTGGGTGGGCACTGATGCTGTGGTTACAGCCAAGTGGCTTGAACACAGAGGCAGAAGGTTCTCCAATTTGAGAGGACTTCAGAATCACCTGGAGGGCTTGTTAAAACACAGATTGCTGGGTCCCACCCCCAGAGATCTGTTCAGCGGGTCTGGGATGGGGCTCAAGAAATTGCTTCTCTCACCAGGGGTGTAGTGAGGCTAAGGAATTCCCTGGACACTCTCTAGATTGTACCTGCCCCCAATTCAAGTGCCTGGGGGGAAGCTCAAAATTGCACCCCCCCCCCAATTTCAAGATGAACAGATGTTGACACATCAGCAGAAATGCCTTCCACCTTCACGTCTGGGTGCCTTAGTCAGCTACCTTTCATATTTGCGGTGCCTTGGAATGTCATTGGATTTGTTCCCAGGGACAAGTGCCCCCCCCGACCCCCCCTTTACTGTGCCTCTGCATCTCCCATGCTTGAAGGAGGACATCGGACTTTTCTGGGTTAATAGACGCTGCTCAGTGGTGCCCCGCTTCAACTGGCGCCCAAGGCATGTGCCCTACCTACCATACCTTAGGTAAGCCTTTGCTTCTAACAAGTTTCCAGGTGACACTGATGCTTCCGGTCTGGGAGCATACTTTGAGAACCACTGACATAGGCTGCTTGTAGGTTATTTTAGGTGCCCAGAGATTGTAAATTATTTGTATTCAACTACTAGCATATATTTGTGAGTTCTAATACACAAAGGCAGGCAGGTCCAACCTACCCAGCAGTACCACGGAAGAAAGGCCTGACATCTGCTTCCAGGAAGGTCACGGCCAAGAAAACCCCATGGGGCACTTCTACTGCAACACCGGCCGCCATGAGTTGCAACTGACTCAACAGCCCTAGGTTTGGTTTGAGCTGGGAAACAAACAAACAAACAAAACCCAAACCCATTGCCACTGAGTTCATAGTTGCTTCCTACCCTAAGAGGTAGGTATTTTAATTGAGGGAGTGTGATTAAGATTCCTTTCTGTTTGGTAATTTCTTTTTGTTTCTTAATCTATTAAAAACAAAACGAAACAAAAACTAAGATAAACAGAAGCATTAATCAGGGTAGCTAATTAGTATAATTAGATAGCCCACACACTAAGAACAATTTAAAGAGATTAACATTAAGGTACACTTTGGGACTCTCCTCTTTAATCATTAAATTTGATTTTAAATGGCTTAATTTTAACCTGGGAGCTCTGGTAGCGTAGTGCCTAAGGCATTTGAGTGCTAATCAGAAGGCTGGCAGTTCAAACCCACCAGCCACTCCTCGGAAAAAAGGTTGGACACTCTACTTCCATAGTGATACTGCCTCGGAAACCCAAAGAGGGGTTGCTATGAGTCAGATCCAACTTGACAGCAGTGACTTAATTTTAACCTTGATTTTTTTCTTCCCAATTTAAATATATATATATTTTTTTTCCTACTCACCTGAGTCTAACATCCTCTGGGGTCTTCTTGTGTCTGGTTTCAGAGCACTAGCACCTCCAAAGCCCTTGTAATTGTTTCTGCTTTGCCCAGGGAATCATTTCAGCCTCAAACTCCTTTCCCTACCCTGATGCTGAAGAAATTTGTGAAAAAAATTTTAGCCTCTTTTATACCCAAGTTTTTCTTTCCCTTCCATGAAACGTGACAGATGAGAAAATACGGCAGCAAGATGACATGGTCTGTGTGCTGGAGTGAAATGCTGTGGACCTTTTTCATTCAATGGGAGGGACTTTCTTGGCTTAGCCAGTGTCCTCAGTCTTAGAGGCTGGGGTCTGCTATTCCCAACTCACCCCGAATGGCTCCTTGGTCCCTATTGCATACAGGGCTAAATCCAAACCTGCCTTCCGAAGAGCCTGGAGTTATCCAGCGGTATTGTTAGTACATATGTTTTTAAATACTTTAAAAGAGAATGAAACAACGTTTTGAAAGACCTCAAAAGTGGTTTCAGCCCAGGGGGAAACAACTGACTTGGAATTTCTGCACACACTCAAGTTACCTGTGACACAGACGCCAACCCAGGTCCCCAGGTGTGGCTGGGGAGTTTGATTTTAGTTGTGGCATGGCCTCCCCAAGCACTGAAGGGCTGCACAGACAGAAAGCACGGCGTTCTGCCAGGGCATGGGGCTAGCAAAGCAGGGTCAAGGCAGGGCAGTGGGCCCGATCCCGGGAGGGCCTCACCAGACACAATGGGGTAAGAGCATCAAAGACTTTTCCAGCCCAATTTGGTAGTAACGGACTGTCACCAATGCCACCCAAGACACGCAACCCATTAAGAGGCAAAGCTCAGCACAGGGGTAGACGGGCAGGTGTTCTGGCTCCTGTGGGAGGGAGCCGTAACATGGTAGTTTTGCATACAGGTACATTGCACAGGTTCACATCTGGTCTATGCTAGTAAGTGGATACCCGTGGACGAATGCCTTACCCCCTGCATGCCTCTCTTTCCTCATCTGTAAAACTGGGGTGCAGTTCTGCTACCGCCAAGGCATAAAAATACAAAGCAATTTGAATGATGCCTGGCCCAGCACAAACCCTCAGTCAGCCACTGTGACATTATTAAATGAAGAGCAAGGGAATTTCTAGGCCATTATTATGCACATGGAATCAGTTAGGAACTTATTCAGACACCAGATGGATGTATCTGGGATGACACCCACCTGGTCTTAGAAGGAGTGGTTCTGTATCCTGGCCCCTCCCCCAGGCCCTCGATTGGAAGGTGGAAGCCCTTCTCAAGGCAGCAGGCAGCGGAGGCCCACTGA